GCTTGAGATACAGAGGGGCAGTTGTCAAGTGGGTGATGAAAGTTGCACAGTAGCAAATTCTCTGATGAAGCTGGACATCAAGGTTGCTATATATGATCCCAAGTTTGCCTCGAGGTTGTACGGGTCGGCGAGCTCTCCGATCTCCGTCATAAGGATAGCTACCAAGACGGGAAGACGGGCACTAGCACATGTAGGTTTGTGGTTCTCTCGGCCGCAGGCGAGCTTGGTTCGCCCTGCCCAGCCTCAGCAGACGCAGCCCCAGTTTGGTAGTCCATTCCACGATAGCCTCGAATTGGTGGTGACCTCGGCCTTCTTGGTGTGATTGCCAAGAGAGGAAGAGATATGCTAGACCCGAGTGCAGATCATCCCAGGGCTGCGATGCATGGGATGATGAGCGCATCCGGTGCAGAATTGGCGACATAGTGCGCGCCGCAGGACCAAGCCGCAAGGTGTAGTCCACAATGGACGGCTGTCTGGTGATCTAGGATCGACGGTGAAGTCGATGTCTTACTCTTCAGGCTGTTTTCGAACAGCTCAATTTCCATCCACAGTGCCGCAAGAAGGTTAGCAGGTTTTCGCTCCCGAGGATCAAAGGGATGAGTGGACAGGATTGCGGGGTCCCATAGGGTTATACAGACACACGACCTTTGTTCGTGATACCCTTCAGCTTGAGAAAGATGTGCGAGCGACGGAATCGGACAGAAAACGGTTTTCTGCGGGCTGTGGTAGGTATACATTCTTATCGATCATGTCCTTGGTGAAGAATGAAGTCTTCTCCCACAATGAACAAGCTTGGGCCTTCATAAGTAGACTTACACATAGAAATAGTGGTGATGTTCTCGATGTCGTCTAGATCAATCTGCAGAAACTCTCGATAGCTCTACAGTGCCTAATTATCAAGAGAAGTTACCGGTGCGAGCCGACGTCAAGGCAGTACCTGTCGAGGCCCCAGATTATCATATTCCTGCCAAGGCGCTTGTCTCAGGAGGGCGTCGATCTGGACCACCTTGTCAGCGAACGGTCTCCGCGGATAGATTTGGACCGGCGATCTCTCACTCGCTTCTCAAGTCGCATCCGGTCCTTCGGATCAAAATATCAGGGCGACGCATCAGTCCGTCTGCTGCGAGATGCGCCCTGTGGCGAGCAGGATTCTGAGCGAGTAGTATTAGAGCAGGCATTGACTCGGCCGGGACATTTTCCGAAGTCATTTACCAGAATCCTCGATAGGTTCACCTTAGATACCCACGTAATACCCAAGCTGTCAAGTGTGTGCGATGCTCTCAGGAGTGTGGAAACAACAAACATGGTTTGAGAGGCCACAAACCCTTTCCGCCGTTTGGAGGAATGTCACCGCAGGTATGTTCCAGGCAGCTTGCTGTAACATGCTGTGAGCGATTTCGCTCACCGCTTGGTAGTCAAAATTGATGACATCAATCAGGTGATAGGTTAGATGGTTGTTCGAAGGGATGTCATCTCGTATTTTGCGAGGGATGTTCATGCCGGTATCGAGAAGCGGGCACCAAGCCTCGCAGCGTGCAAAAGCTATGAATAGCACCGAGCATACGGCTGATCACTTCTTCCTTTGATGTGTAATAGGTAGTGCCCAAGAAGTCTCTCGACCCCTTTTTCCTGTCCAGCTTGGACCCTTGTCTTCCCCTCACGTTGTCCAAGTCAAGGACATACGTTGGTCGGAACGCGGGGAGAGATCATACACGTCGCACTGAGACATAAGCCATGGCAGGCTCCTGTCGTATATCATAGTTACCTCGCTTTTGCCTTTTTGTCCTTGCCACATACTCAGTGCTCTGATGTGCTCTGAGGTTCCTTCCTTGCTAGAAGTCAGACAGTTAGTGATCACCACGTTTGATTGAGATAGCTCCTTCTCGTATTGCATGTACCAGACGTGCTGGGCCATGATAATCGACTGCGAGCCACACGAACGAGGCCGTCTTCAGCAAGTTCTATTATTGGAGAATAAATGTAAGTGGCTCAAAGTCAAGTGAAAAGAGTAATCGAGGTGAATATCCGTAACATGAGGTGGGTTTGATCCCAACAGTCTGTTTTTGGGCGACCCGGCGATCATCGATAAGATCATTGATTTTGAGACTGAAACCGTACCCCCCCGAGTCGGAAGAAGTGTATCCTAGTGTTTCTGGCCATTCCTTTCGATATCTAACTCCTGCAAGAAAGTGATAGATGCCCCGCCAGTCATGCCAATCATCACCATCAGACCTAGAAGACAATATAGTGGTGCCTACAAAGTAAGAAGTCATTTGCACTCCGGAACAACCGGCAGGCGATTCTCTCAGGGTTCAAGGTGTAGGCTCACATTACCCCGGGTCCTGTTTCAAGCGGTAACCCACGCCGTCTTCCCAACGCTGGGCCATGTCTCAACCGCAAGTCCTTTTGCATCTCCCCGGAAATCGTTTGACGAAACAACTCTTTCTCACACCAGCCAAGGTGGCAGTACGGCAGCGAAGCATTATCCCGGAAACCAAGCATTTATGATATTGTAGTGACCGCCCCTTATTTGTTATTTTCTAACTTTCCTATGTACGCCTTTGCTGGTATCAATCAATGCTGCCCAAACGTGGAATGAAGTTCCACACATGCTAATAAAATCTCTTCATTTTCCCTCATTGGTTCTCGAGGTACGCCTTCCATCCTTTACTCTGCAGCTCGGAAGCCTTGTGCTCAACTTCCCGGGACATGTTGCTCATGTACTGAGCCATCTTTTGCTGGTACTCGAGGCTGGACGACCCGAGAATCTTGACAGCGAGGAGGGCAGCGTTGGTGGAGTTGTTGATACCGACCGTTGCCACGGGGCAACCGCGGGGCATTTGCACGATGCTCAGCAAGCTGTCGTGGCCGTCAAGATGAGTGGCCTTGACGGGCACGCCAATCACTGGCACAGTTGTCTCGGATGCCAGCATGCCTGGGAGATGGGCAGCACCGCCGGCTTTGGTGATGTTAGTAATGTCTCCAAAGGGTCGATCGACATATGTAGACTTACCAGCTGCGATCAAGACCTTGATGCCACGCTGCGCGGCGGTCTTTCCAAGTTCAACCATACGATGGGGCGTACGGTGAGCAGAAGTGATGTCAAGGTCATAGGGAACCTCGAAATGCTCAAGAATCTCGAAGGCACCCTTCAAGACCTTGAGGTCTGAGTCAGAACCCATGGTGACAACAACCAAGGGCTTATCGGCGTTGCGGGAGCTGGTCTTCTTGGCAGGAGACTCTTGCAGACGAAGTTGGTCTGAGGCAGCATCAAGTCGCGCTTCGCGCATGTAGTTCACCTCGTTAATCAGAGGCGCTGCTAGCCTCTCCAAGCTGGAGTTGGCAGAGTGAGTCGTCACGGTGATGTGTCCAATCTTGCGGCCAGGCTTGGACGATTTGCCATAGAGGTGGAGGAACACATCCATGTTGTCATCGTATAAGGATGTGGTCAGGTCGACCAACTCTTCGTGGGAGTCTTCACGCGCACCGCCGAGAATGTTGAGCATCAGAGCGCCGGAGACGCGAGGCTGCAACTTGATAGATCGCGGGAGCATGTCCAAGATGGAGTGGAGCTGCGCCTTGTACTGCGACATGTAGGGCACACCCTCAATAGTCCAGTGGCCCGAGTTGTGGGGACGAGGAGCGACCTCGTTGACGGTGATTGTGCCTATCATCAAGTTAGTTGATCCTCAAGTCTTGTAGTCTCTGCTAACTGACCGTCCTTGAGCAGGAACATCTCAACAGCAAAGACACCTCTGCCCTTCACCGTCTTGATAACATCCCCAGCCACCTGGCGTGCCTTCTCACATACATCCGCACTGACTTGGCGAGGTGGGTAGTACACCTTGGTGCAGATACTCTCCTCGTGGATAGTTTCGACAGCCGGGTAAGTGTGAACCTTTCTCAACTCGCCGTCCTCATCCTCAGTTCGCACAACCATGACGGCGAGCTCCATCTCGAAAGGTACCCACTTCTCAGCGTAGAGTGAGAGCTTGCCCATTGTCCGAATAGCCTCCTCGTAGTCCTCCGGGCCCCTAACCTTGAAGTTACCACGGCCGTCATAGGAACCCTTTCTCGCCTTCAGCATGAATGGGAATTGGAATGCCCTGTAAGCGGCCGTGAGGCTCTCAGGCATAGCAGGGCCGGATTCAATGGCCATCTGAGGGGCAATGGGGAGACCACCCTTGGCGAAGTGCTCTTTTTGCAAGTACTTGTCCTGGATCAGACGCAGAGTCTGCCAATGGGGGTGACAGGGTACTTTCTTGACGGTGCCTGGAGCAGTGATAACACCGCGGGTCGCAATCTCCTCGAGAACCTCAGTGTTAACGTGCTCGATCTCGACAGTGAGGACGTCACACATGGCAGCCAATTCTCTGATCTTGGCCGGGTCCTTGAAGGAACCGGTGACGTGCCGGCTGTTTTGGTTAGCTTGCTTCGCAGGACAATTGGCCTCGTCCAGGATCGCGATATCGATGCCGAGGGGCCCCGCGGCCTCGCACAACATTCGGCCCAACTGGCCACCTCCAAGGAGGCCGATGACGGGCTTCTTGACCATTGTGAAGATCGACTTTGCGACTATAATAGCGCGAGTGCGAAAGTGAGGAGAAGCAAGTTAGAGCGAAACAATAGCCCAGATCAAAAGAAGGGTGGAGAGAGTGTTTCCCGAGGGAAGAAACGACTCATAAATGCAAGCACTTGGCTGGGGTAGAGCAAAGTTTTGACGCAGGAAGTTTACAGGTTTCTCCCCCATTGGGCAGGCGGTGAAAAATCACCCCGCCGTTATCGTCGCAAGAGAGCCCCACCCCCACTATGACAGCCCAGGTGAGGATCGCCCATCTAGGTTTGATGCCACAGGCCCCCCCTGCTCCACTAAGATCCTCTGTAATTCTTCGCTGCAGGCGCCTTCGACGTTGTGAGTGAGTCCTAATCCGACTCAATCACACTCTCATCTCAACTCGGGCATTATACCACTCACTCTTGTGGGTGTCCAGATTGTCACCATGGCGGCCGACCTCTATAATGGAACTCTTTCAGATAGAACACAGTAGGTTTTGAGTTCCACTTCTTGTTCACCATGAGTCAAGGGGACTGACAACATGTGACTTTACGCAGTCCCCTGAAAATATTCGATGCTGCCAAGAGTCAAGATAGATTTCTCAACGTCTCAGCTCCCATGGTGAGGTATAGCAAGGTGATTCAACTCTGGTATTTCAGTCAAGGAGGCCATTGACTCATCACCGCATAGCTCGCTTTCCGTCAAACCGTTCATGAATATGCTACCGATCTCTGCTGGACACCCATGATCCTGTCGAAAGAGTTCAACCGCAATAACTTTGCCCGGGACAGTGGTTCGTTGACTCCCCTGCGCCTCACTCCGGTACCTTACCACGGTCTGACTCTTCTCCAAAGATCTCACAATATCCACCCGTGGAGTTCAGCCTCCCACGATAGTTCAATTTGGCGCAAACAGCCCTCTCGAGCTCGCCCGCTCATCATCTCTTGCCGCCCCTTTTGTCAACGGTGTCGATCTCAACTGTGGGTGCCCACAGTCATGGGCTTGCGCAGAGACTCTTGGTGCCGCTCTTATGGAGCAGCGCGAACTCGTACGAGATATGGTCATTGAGACTCGTCAACGCTTGGCTAGTGACGGTTGGCACGTTGGCAAGGAGCGGGATATCGACAGTCCAAAGGGAAGGAGCGTCAGCGTCAAGATCCGTGTGCACAAGGACTTGAGGCGAGTGCCCCTTAACCCTGAGCTTCTCGCTCACATCCTCTCGGGAACCGTCCTCCGCTAACTCTCATGCTTCACTAACTAGGAAGACGATGGACTTTATCGACACCGTCATTGGCAACCCCCTGAACCGTAATATCGACTTCCTGACGATCCATCCCCGTACCCGTCATACAGCATCCACCACCCCTATTAACACCGAATCTCTTGGCATTCTCCTCGAGAAATACGGTGACACGCTCCCAATCCTTCTGTCCGGCGATGTCTTCTCCATGGCCACGCTACCCCTGTCGACGGTATCCAAAGCACCAGAAGAACCTTTGGAACCGACACTGATCAACGGCCATAATGGCTATACGGACTTCACCCCCAGTGGCACCAAGTTGGCAGGTCTCATGTCTGCGCGGGGTATCCTCGCAAACCCTGCTCTTTACGCTGGGTTCGAGTCTTGTCCGTGGGAGGCTGTCGAATGCTTCATGCGCCACGTCATTCGTGCCCCGATGCCAGTGAAGCTCGTTCAGCATCACCTTCACGAGATGTGCGGACCAGGTATGGGGCCGGATAAGCGTGCTTTGCTGAATCGACAGGAGAGGGCAGCATTACTTGCTCTCGAAAATATGGTGGACGTGATAGATTTCTTGGATGATGCGATCAATCGCAAGACAGGCAGGACGGAAGGACTTCATCGAGAGCCGAGACGTAGCTCAACAATTCATATACCATAAACTACTACCCTCTCAATCTGCAGCGATGTTTTTTGACTTTATGATAAATTCGCTATGAATTGTAATCACTGCTAAGGTATTTCCTACCTTTGCAAAGCATCGCTTGCGCCATGACCTCTGCCAAACTACCACCCTTGGAACGCCGTGTCTCTGTGAAAGCGTGCTGTGACTCTCGCGCATACCAAGATGCTTGCGCTTGAAGCCGCCTTAAGTGAGTGACCACTATGGTACATAAGCGTCATCTTGCGCCTGTCGACCCTTTGTCCGAATACCCGCCGTAAAATGCGATGGACCTCCAACGCCCATGGTTCGTGGAATTATTAAAATGTTACAGGCTAGAGCTCCTAGTCCAAGACCTCCCCTTCATCTTCATCGGACAGTCGTGCCCGCTTCTGTTCTCTGCCCTCGGAATCCGAGTCAAGTTCCTTCCTCTTTCCTGGGGACGCCAGGTTATTGCCATTCGCTCTCTCTGGCTCCTTAAGCGTGGCCTGCGAGCCAGACTCAGTATTAGTGACGTCATCGCGACCATTAGCCCTAGCTCTTGGGCTCTGCGTTCCTCTATCCAGCTCAAAAGGCGTGCCTGCTGTAGAGGAGAGAGCGTCCTGGCTCATCTGATCCCTTGGCTGTCTAGTATTGGCCAGGTCAAAAGCTGGTGATGGCAGTGACGGGTTCTGTTTACGGAGCGGGTTCTCAGTGTAGAACTGTCGAACAATGTCGATGGCCTTGGCACACTTGTCTTCGTTTCCTTTCAGTGCCCTCCACCACGGTTCGCCGTTGACATCTTCGATCTTCTGCTGTGTGTGTATACTGGCAAAGAAAATGGCACTGATGGCAACGTCGCGTGCTTCGAGCAGTAGAGGGATGGAGGTAAGGCAGGCGTCGCTGCAGAACGCCCAAGCTGACTGCCTCAGATGTTTGTTGTGAACTATTTCGAGTTGACCGAGAAGCTCGAATAGACGCTGGTAAGGGTTCTCCACCATGAGGTCGAATGTGAGGTATTCCAGCATCAACTCCTCATACATGAGAATGCTGTCTCTCCACCGCCAGTACTCCTTGCTCATCTCATCTATCATTAGCTTGGGGTTCTTTTGGGCGACCTTCGCCACTGTGATGATGATTTCCTTTGTCTTCCGACAGTTTTCTTCTGTCTTATTCGCGAGAAAGAGCGCAGTGGCTGCAATGTTCTGTTCAACCGATTCCGTCAGCATTGGTTCAGCTTGAGCCTTTTCGGTCCCTCGTTTGGATCTGGGAAGTGCGGATTGTGCCTGACACTTATAAGACACCAACACGAACGCATTTAGACTGGGGATTGAGCAGAGATATGTCTCACGTAGTGGTGGATGCCGTTCTTCTCTTCAACCATACTGTATCGCATATAGAACCGGTGGAAGAAGACACCTGCAACCCAAAGGGTGATTTGGGGCAAGTCGAGAAGAACTCCGGCCTGATATATGAAGTTGACACCCTTCGCGCGTCGTAGGCGCTCCTCTGCCGGTGAAATGCCATCTAGAATACTCGGTGTGCTCAGGGTCTCGTCGGGGGTGAAGTACCACTGATTGGGCGGAGGTCCTGGTGTTTGCGCCCTTGACCGCTGGGGTGAGCGCGTGTCTCGCTGAGAATGAGGGCGCGGCGGCGAGGTCCGCGATGAGTGTGTCGGGGGAGATGGAACTGCAGGTGGCACATCAAGACGACGCCCGGGAGATCTGGATTGCCGGTCTGGTCGAGGCGGACCCGGGGGGAGCGTGGGAGGCTGGTAGGCCTCTCTGGAAGGCCGATAGCGATCGATACTAGCCATCGCCGCGAAATTATTGTGATACCTTCAAGTCGGCGATTGGTAAAAGTTGATGTGAGAGACTGATCATGGGTGAAATGGCGCTCGCCGTCGCAAGTGGTAGTGTTGGATGATGGCGGAATCGCTTTCCTTGGTTTAGCTGAGGTGGATTTTCGACCCTGTTTGAGTCGCGTTATCTTATCAACAGATCCACGTGATCACTTTAGACCCCTGCGTGTCCTGACCAGCAGGTGGATAGGTACATCGGATGGGAAGATAGATAGGTGTTCAGGTCTGGTAAATGGGGAGCTACTCGATTTAGCCATCCCCAAATTTCGACCCTTAAGGGATCCTTAAGAGGGGAGAAATGTCGAGAAATTCATCATGGTTGTGTAGAGTGCCTACGGATTTCGAGGACAGGAAGCATCGAAAATACTTTTACTACCTAAGGTACGTTACGGTCCATGGCCTGCGCTGGAAGCTATCGCACTTGGAGGTAGGTAGGTCCTTATGTAAGCCTGAGGTGCACACGGACCTTGGTGCTGAGGTGTCTCCGTACCTGCAGCAGCATTTGCCCATTCCGAATCAGGCAACAAGGCATTAATCAGCTTGGTACGCACTTTCCCTTGCTGAAGCTGGCCGTGACGCGAGCATGGAGCTGCCTGAGCTACTCCCCAATTCAACGTCAAAGAACCCCATTTCCCATTCCAATCATCACCAAGCCCAACACTTCCACGAACATCAACGAAAGCCCGCTCAGAAATAATTCTTTACTCTCACCACCCCTTATCGACCGGTTAATTCGACAACTTCCCCCGCCCGCTGACCGCCGAGATGGACAGCCTTGTGGCCAAGTACAGCCGCCCGGCGTTCGAGCAACACAACACCTTCAGAGACGATGAGCAGGAGGACCTTGAGCTCCTGGGTGGAGCGCCGCCGCTGTCATTGAAGTTTGCTATGCCCCCGGTCGCACATGTGAGTTCAACCTGTTGACTGGGTTTCCGTTTGAACCTGAGATGCACCACCAGACTGACATGGGGAACCCCTCAATGCAGCCCTCCTCCTGGCTCCGCGCAGCAACAGACGACCGAGCCAACCCCGACTGCCCCATCAAGATTGCCCACGGCACAACGACCCTCGCCTTCCGGTTCCAAGGCGGCATTATCGTCGCCACCGATTCCCGTGCGACTGCCGGAAACTGGATTGCCTCGCAAACAGTCAAGAAGGTCATTGAGATCAACTCAGTGCTCCTGGGCACCATGGCCGGCGGTGCCGCTGACTGTCAGTACTGGCTTGCATGGTTGGGCATGCAGTGCCGCCTGCACGAACTCCGCCACAAGCGCCGCATTTCCGTCGCCGCGGCGTCCAAGATTCTCGCCAACCTCGTCTACTCATACAAGGGCATGGGCCTCAGCATGGGCACCATGTGTGCCGGCGTTACGAAGGAGGAGGGCCCCGCGCTGTACTACGTCGATTCAGACGGCACTCGTCTGCCTGGCAACCTCTTCTGTGTCGGCAGTGGTCAGACTTTTGCCTACGGTGTTTTGGACGCTGAGTACCGCTACGACTTGACCGACCAGGAAGCTCTTGACCTCGGTAGCCGAAGTATTCTTGCCGCTACGCACCGTGACGCCTACTCTGGTGGTTTCATCAACCTCTACCACGTCAAGGAGGAGGGCTGGGTCAAGCATGGCTTCAATGACACGAATCCCATTTTCTGGAAGACGAAGCTGGAGAAGGGCGAGTTCACCAACGTCACTGCCGACTTGGACTAGATGTCGGTGGAGAAGGACAGTGATTTGGTGCCGCTGAAGTCATACGTGTCGCGGGGTTCCTTCCAGAATCCCGCTTTCAGCCAGTCTCCAGGCCGAAGCCCGAGACCGAATCTCGCTCCAGTGTCGCTTTTGCCGGGACAGAGCGATATATCCCACCTATCACTATGACGTGCAAGGAGACAAGAAGATTTTACTACCTCGCACAGGATTGAATAGAACGGTTATGATAGGCAAATCGAGCGCAGTCGCGGAATCGAGCATGGCTTGTCAGGTTGTCCATTAGACATCTATACTCTCAAGGGAGAGTGCAGGTGTTGTGTAACTTGTACACTAGATTATGATACAAGTTCATTCTCACGCTTCTTCTACATTGTTATTACATGTGATTCTATAACCAAAAAAGGGGTATCATAAGGTTTTAATGTTCTCTTCTTCTCCATCCAGGGACACCCAGGATGCCACCCTCTTCGCTGGACGGGTCAATCGACCACTTGCGCTCAGGATGTACGGAAAGTGAACTCTCCCAGCCAGCTTCGTACATTTCCATGCCGGTCCATGCAATCATGGCCGCATTGTCCGTACACAATGCTGGCGGGGGCGCCGTGATCTCCACATGCTCGAATCCGCGGACGTCGAGCATCTTCCGTAGCACATGCATGAGGAAGCGGTTGCTGGCGACACCGCCGCTTACGACGAGTGTTTTCAGTGCATCTTTCAATTCCGGCTCGGCGGCAAGAGCGAGGAAGATGCGAGTTGCCAGGTGCTCGAATAGGAGGCGCATGGTGGCGCGGGCGAGGATCCGTCGTTCGTCGAGAGACATGGAGCCGCCTTTTGAGGTGGCGATTTTGCGGACCTCGCTGCCTAGGCCATTGAACTCGTATGATAAGGCGCGGGAGGCGGAGAGTGGAGGGTGGAGGGTCCAGGAGTAGGGTGGGGGAGCGGTGTACGGCGCGATTTCGTCGACGCGGCGGAGGGGAGGGGTGTATTCGTAGTCGTGACCGTGCTGGCTTTTGGGATCTGATGATGATAGAGAGGAGGGGACAAAAGAGTCGGGAAAGGCGAAGCGTTCGAGGAGGGCGCCGTACATGACGTCTCCGTGGGATGCTAGCATGTCCGGCGGGAGGATGTGGCGCGCTGCCTTGTCGAGGGCGTCGCCGACGGCGATGTTGGAGGAGGAGGCGAGGATGCGGTGAGATGTGAGGGAGCGGGAGTGGACGAGCTGGGTGTGGCCGCCGGAGACTAGGAGGGTGAGGAAGGGATATTCTGGTTTTATAGTAGCGGTGACATCGACTGTTGGAGAGGAGGAGGCGGTGGTGGATGAGGACGCTGTGGATGTCGTCGGATCATGGCGGGCGAGCGCGGAGACGAGGCGAGGGGTGAGGGCGTGGGCTTGCATGTGGTTCACGGCCAGGAGGGGCACCTGCCAGGCTGTTGCGAGGCCTTTTGCCGTCGAG